GACTGGGTTAAGTAGCTGGTCAGACGCTATTTCTGAGTGTGTCTGTGAGGATGCTTCTGGAGAGATTAACTTTTGAATGGGTAGACTGAGTACCGACGATCTGTCTCCTCAATGAGGGTGGGTATCAGTCAATCCATTGAGGGCCTGAGTAGAACAAAAATGCACAAGAGGGCAAATGTTCTTCTGCTTGCACTGGGACAACATCCATCTGCCTCTGATAGCAGTTGTTGGACCGACTATACACCAGCGTTCCTGGTTCTCTCACTTTTAGATGGCAGATTATGGGACTTCTCAGCTTCCAGCATAAAAGTGTGTGTGTGTGTGTGTGTGAGAGAGAGAGAGAGAGAGAGAGAGAGAGAAATTTAGTCTGTTTCTCTGGAGAACCCTTACTGATACAAATGTTGAGCATCTTTTCGTGTGTTTATTGGCTTCATGTATTTATTGGCTTAATGACTTCTATATCTTCTTTTTTCTTTTTTGAGTCGGAATCTCATTCTGTCACCCAGGCTGGAGTGCAGTGGCATGCACATGACCACCCCAGCATCAATCTGCTAGGCTCCTTCCACCTCAGCCTTCTAAGTAGGCTAAACTACAGGCATGCACTACCACGCCCAGCTAATTTTTTTTTCTTTTTTATTGTAGAGACAAGGTCTTGCCAAGTTGCCCAGGCTGGTCTCAAACCCACGGGTTCAGGCAATCCACTTGCCTCAGCCTCCCAAAGTGTTGGGATTACAAGCTGAGCCACCAAGCCCAGCCTAAATCCAGATTCTTAATCAGCAGGTCATGGTGGGACTGCTGATCACCACATCCACTAAGCTTCCGAGGAATACTGTGGCAGCTTATGTTTTCCAAAGATGACCTCAGCGATATTTTTCATCCCACATGCTCTTCCAGAACCTTGCCCTCTCCCATGAAAAGGTGGAGACACAATCCTCCTCCCTCGAATCTGGGCACACCAGCAACATGGCTTCTGTCTGGCACTTTCCGAACATTTACTTTTGGAACCATCCTCCATGTTATGTGGGAGCCTAATCTAGCAACAAGGAGAAACATTGTGAAGAGAAGCAGAGGCCTCCCTACCTACAGCCAGCATCAACTGTCAGACCAGTAAGCAAATGTGCCTTCAGATGATTCTAACTGATGCCTCAAACATCGTGAAGCAGAGATGAACTACTAATATTCCTGAAGATTGCAGATTCATAGCTAAATGCATACTGTTTTTGTTTTGAAACAACTATGTTTCAGGATTGTTTGTTATGCAGCAACTGAGAGCTGTAACAATGCTGTACTGCTAGTCTATGCACTCCACCCAGGGGCCAGATCACTAGACCTTCTCATGGCCTTTGCTTAAGCTATTTATCTACTTGTTATATTTTTTTCCATTTGCTTTCATGACTTGGCCTCATTCCCCTGGCTCTCCTCTCACAGTGCTTTCCTGACACTTCAGGCTGGGTCTCTTGCCTCATCTGGGTCTCCTCGGCCTCCTGTGCCTCCCCCATCCTGGCTCTGACTCTTTTCAGTTTGTGCCTCATCCACACCCACCCTGACCATCTTGGCTATCTCTGTGTGGGGTAAGTCTCTCCCCCACTAGGTCAAGAGCTCTTGAAGGGCAGGTTGGTGCCGACTTGGTCACTGCTGGAAGGAGCTCAGTTAATATGGTCCTGGGGACAGTACTGACAGAGCTGGCTCCCTCAACCCAAACTCCCACTCACCCCTATAGATATCACCTCTGTAGCCCAGGACATGGTTCAGCATGATTCTACTTAGACATCAGGGTCACCCACCATGATCTTTTGTTTGTTTTTATTTGACTCAGAGTCTCACTCAGTCACCCAGGCAGGAGTGCAGTGGCATAATCACGGCTCACCACAGCCTTGACCTCCTGGTTTCAGTCAATCTTTCCACTTCAGTTTCCCAAGTAGCTGGAACTATAGACACGCATCACCATGCCCGCCTTATTTTTGTCATTTTTGTAGAGACAAGGTCTCGCTATGTTGTCCAGGTTGGTCTCAAACTCCTTGCCTCAAGCAATCCTCCCACCTTGGCCTACCAAATTCCTGGGATTACAGGCATGAGCCACTGCACCTGGCTGCTGTTCCTGAATAGTGAGCACCCCCTTCAAGTCACCCCAGTAGCTTCCCCTCAATATCTCATCCCTGGTTTCTTACCCCCCAAGAGACACAGCACCTTGGCATTTGTGAAACATGACCCAGACCTTGGTACCACAGCACCCCTGCTGATTCCCACTGGCTGGATGTAGCTCCCAAAAGAACCCTGGACTTCCCCAACCTCTGTCTAGAGCACCAAGGGAGGGAGAGGAAGCCCTGCCCGTTTGCATGCTCTGTGGTGTCTCGCCTCCTTCCCGAGGTGCTGGGCCTGCCATTCAACATTCTCCTCAGGCCCTACACAGCAGAGCTCCCAGCAGCTGCAGACCTGGTTCAGGTTGGCTAATGAGGACAAGGCTTGGGGTACAGCCCAAACTCTCAACCTCGTCTGCCCTGCACCCCACTGCAGTCCTGGAGGACACCACTGGACCAAAGGAAGAAGCTTGTTTTTAAGGAGGAAATTCTCACAGAAAAGGATTCAGCACCTCTTCTGCCAAACTTTCCCTTCTCTGAAAACATTCTCACTCCCAACTAGTGAGTGCTTTGTAAGCAGTTACAAGAACATGAGTGTGCATTTTGTCCTCACTGGGAGTAAGGGTTTTATGAATGTCCACATGCCTGTCCTGCAGAGGTCTCTCCTCAGGTTGGGCTCCTCACCTGTTGACTTTTCTGCAAGCAGAGACCTGGGCAAGAGTTGCATCTGCAACCCGACTTCCTCCGCCATCCTCTGTAGATACCGCGTACCTCCTGCAGGTGGAGCTGTGACACACGGGCAGCACAGCTCTGAACAAGGCCCATAGGCTCCACCACATTATTCTCAAACGCCTGAAATGAACATTAGAAGCAGAAACACAACGGGAGCTCCATAGTTAATTATACGTGTTCTAGCAGCCATATTTCAAAGTGTTCAAAGAAGCCGGGGGTGGTGGTTCACACCTGCAATCCCAGCACTTTGGGAGGCCAAGGCACGAAGATCGCTTGAGGCCAGGAATTCAGGATCACCCTGGGAAACATAGCAAGATCTCATCTCTTCGAAAACAAAAACAAAAAAAATTAGCTGGGGGTAGTGGCACGCACCTGTAGTCCCAGCTACTTGGGAGGCTGAGGTGGGATGATCACCTGAACCCAGGAAGTTGAACTTGAGGCTGCAGTGAGCTATGATCATACTACTATACTCCAACCTGGGTGACAAAACAAGAACCTGCCTCTTAAAAAAAAAAACAGGCTCGAGACCAGCCTGGGCAACTTGGCAGGACCTTGTCTCTACAATAAATTAAAAAATTAGCCAGGCATGGTGGCACGGGCTTGTAGTTCCAGCTATATGGAAGGCTGAGGTGGAAGGATTGCCTGAGCCCAGCAGGTTGAAACTGTGGCGGCTGTGAGCGTGCCACTGCACTCCAGCCTGGGTGACAGTGAGACTCCAACTCAAAAAATATATATATATAAAAATAAGGCTGGGCTCGGTGGCTCAGCCTATAATCCCAGAGCTTTGGGAGGCCGAGGTGAGTGGAGGATTGCCTGAGCCCATGGTTTCGAGACCCCGTCTCTACAATAAATAAAAAGTTAGCTGGGCGTGGTAACACGCGTGAGGCAGAAGGATCACTGGAGCCCAGCAGGGCGAGGCTGCGGTGGCCAGGAGCGTGCCACTGCACTCCAGTCTGGGCAACAGAGTGAGACTTCAACTCAAAAAAAATAAAACAAAATAAATTAAAATTTTTTTTTAATTGTTTGAAAAGCAACATAAAATGTAAAAAGAAACAGGTGAAGAAGCAAATGAAAAGATGCCCGACCGGGTGCGATAGCTCATGCCTGTAATCCCAGCACTTTGGGAGTCTAAGGCGAGTGGATTGCCTGAGCCCACGGGTTCGAGACCAACCAGGGGAAACTGGCGAGACCTTGTCTCTACAATAAGTCAAAAATTAACCAGGTGTGATAGCGCGCGCCTATAATTCTGGCTACTTGGAAGGCTGAGGCAGAAGGATCGCAGAGCCCAGCAGGTCGACTCTGGGGTGGCCATGAGTGTGCCACTGCACTGCAGCCTGGGCGACAGAGTAAGACTCCAACTAAAAAAAAAAAAATTAGCCAGAAGTGGTGGCCCGCATGTGGTTCCAGCTACTTGGAAGGGTGAGGCAGAAGGATGGCCTGAACCCAGCAGGTTGAGGCTGTGATAGCTGTGATGGGGCAACTGCACTCCGACCTAGGCGACAGAGTGAGACTGTGACTCAAAAAACAAAAAAGAAAAGAGTTCTGGAGATAGATGGTGGTGATGTAACACAACAGTGTAAATGTAACTAACGCTACTGAACTGTTCTCTTACAGATGGTTAAAATGCAAATTGTATGTTATGCATATTTTACCACAATCAAAAAATAAGCAGGTGGAAATGAATTTCAGAAATACTTTTATTTATGTCAATATACTCAAGTTTTTATCATTTCAGCAAGTATTCTAAAAAATGACCGAGATACTTCACGTTCCTTTTCTCACACTAAGCCTTGAAAATCTGACGTGTGTCACACTCACACCACCATCTCAACTGGGACTCACCACGCTTTGAGTGCTCAGTAGCCACACGTGGCTACTGGCCACCATACTGGACAGCGCCGATCTAAAGTTTCATCTGCAAATTTCACTCCTTTTTTGCAGACTCGCGTCTCCTTGGCAACACACCAGAGGCTCTGCAAGTACACCTGCAGCTTCTCTGCAGAAACATCTCACATTGCCTGCAAACACTCCCACAGCTCACAGGCCAACACCAAGATCTCACTGCAGACATCTTCAAGCACTTGGCTCAAAGAGCATGCTCCATCCCACATCTGATTTGACCTTTCGGCTCCCCCTCTCCTTTGTTTACATTGCATCTCATTTGTGTTGATCTAAAGGCACAGCAGGGCCTCAGATGGTCATCTCAAAGTCAGGGAGGCGCCAGGCTGGACGGGCGGCAGGCAGGTGCTCCTCCCGCAGCTTCCGCGGGGGCTCTTCGTCGCCTGGCTTCTCTTCCTCACTGCTCTCCTCCTCCTCTTCCAGGATGGTGGCCAATTCCTCCCGCAGAGCCCCCATCTCTAGCCCCAGGCTGCACAGCTGGCCCAGCAGCTGGCTATCCACTCGGCGCAGGTTCCCCTGCCAGAAGGAAGGGGGCGTCACGGGCGTGCCACCCCAGGGAGCAAGGGGTCCTTTCGGGACCTGGGTGAGAACAGGTCCCACTCAAGCCCTGGCCCGTGGCACCTGGGCAGAGTCCTCACTGTGCCCCTGAAAGCCCTGCCATCCTGTTCCTCAGACACCCCCAAACACACTCTCACAAACACACATACTCTCTATTAGTCTCTGTCTCTCTTTTTATATCTTTCTCTCTTATTATCTGTCTCCGTCTCTACCTCTGTTTGTTTGGGCCAGATGTGCTCTGGCCTTTTCTGTCTCTATTTCTGCTTCCCCATTTCTCTGCCCCTGCCTTTGGCTGTTTCCACGTCTCTCCCTGTGTCTCTCTGATTCTGTCTGAATCTTTCTGTCTCTGTTCCTGCTGTCAGTCTCCGCTTTCCACCTGTTTCTCTTGGGGGGGGGTCTCTCTGTTTCTATTCCTCTCTCACTCGATGTCTCTGCATCTGCCTCTGTTTCTCTTACTGTCTCTCTGACTCTGTCTTTCGATCTCTGGCCCTCTCTATTTTCATTCATTTCCATCCATTCATTCAATCATTCTCTCCCATCTTTACCTCTACCTCTAGCTCAATCTCTTGCTTCTTCAATGCCCTCACTCACCAGCTCCTCCCAGATCCACAGCAGACTCTCCCAGGCACCTCCAGTGTCCGCCCCTGGGGCCATGAGGGTCTGGCCAGGGCGCTCTACTGGGTAGTCCCCCCTCAGGGCCCAGGGGGGTGGACCCAGTCCGGGAGGCACCAGTCCAGCTTGCCTCAGTTGCTTCCACAGCTCCATCGTCTCTGAGCAGTGGCCCCAGAAGCAGGAAGTAGCAAGGTCCAGGGTGGCCCAGTCCCCTGGGGAGCCATGGGCTGGAGGGGGGTGAGGAGTAAAGGGCATCTGGGGGGGGGTTGCTCCCAGAGGCATCCCAAAGTCCATTCCTCAGGGAGAATCAGCTGGCCTCGTGCTGTTTTTCCTTCTGAAATCTAACCTTAACTGCGCAGACACAGCCACCCTGGCAGATGTCAAACTCCAGCCCTCTCTGCCTGTCTCAGGCCAAATCCCTCATAGGTGCTCAGTGTCTACTGTTCCTGGTTGCACAAGGTGTTAACATTCCATGTGTATGTCACTGGCTTCCAAGTCTCTGACTCCAGTCCTGAACTCCCTCCTGAGCTCCAGACCCCAACCCTGTAGCTCCACCTGGATGTCTGACATCGCAAGGTGAATTTGGTCAAAACAGAGCTCACATATGGGACCTAACCACTGAATTCATTCCCTGTTGCTGCTGTAACAAATGACTACAATCTTGGTAGCTTAAAACAACATACAGTCCAGCCTAGACAACACAGTGAGACCCTGTCTCTACAAAAAAAATTTAAAAATTAGCTGGGCATGGTGATGCATGCATGCAGACCCAGTTACTCGGGAGGCTGAGAGAGGAGGATCACTTGGGCCAAGGAGTTCAAGGTTGCAGGGAGCCATGACCACACCACTGCACTCCAGCCTGGACCACAGAGCAACACCCTGCCTCTAAAAACAAAATCACAAATCTACTCTGTTACTGGATGTCCGAAGTCTAAATTGGGTGCACAGGGCTGGGTCCCTTCTGGAGGCTCTAGAGAAGCCATTTCTCAGTCCTTTCCAGCTTCTAGAACGCATCTGCCTTCATTGTTTCACAGCCTCCGCCTTCAATACTCCAAAATTTTCCGCCTATCATCATGCCTCCTACGGCTCTGACCCTCCTGCCTCCCTCAGAAAGGACCATTGTGATTATATTGGTCCTACTCAAGTATCCATGACAACCGCCCCATCTCAAGATCCTCAGCTTCATCCCATCTGCAAGGTCCCTTTTACCATAGGAAATAACACGGTCACATGGCATGGATATCTCGGAAGGGAAGCGTCCATCATTCAGTCTACCACACCTCCTCTCCCAAACCTGCTGCTTTCCCAGTGTCCTCACCTCCACAGTCCTTTTAGTTCCCTAAATTGTTGGCTTCACCTTCAAAACAGATCCAGAATCTGAGCACTTCTCACCATTTCCACTGCCCCGTCCCTGCTGTTGTCCCGTTCAGCTCCTGCCTGGACTACTGCTGTAACCTCTTTGCTGGTCCCCTGCATCCACCCTTGCCCGCTAAATAATGTTCTCCACCTGGCAGAAATAATCTCTACAAAATGCCAATCAGAACTGGACACTCTCCTCTTCACACTGTGATAGAATAAAACCCTACCAGGCTGCACAATCTTCCCCCGTCTACTTCTCTGACCAGTCTCCTACCTGTCTACAAACTGATTCCCACCTCAGGACCTTTGCACTAGCTGTTATCTCTGCATGGAACACTGCTCCCCTAGATCTCTGAATGACTGTTCCCTTATTGTTCATTTCCACTTAAATACCACCTCTTCAAAGAGGCCTTTGCCTATGGCCCTGTGCCCCAGTTACTCCCTATTATATTTCATGTTTTTATCTGCTTCTTATTAAAAGTATTTTTGCAGCCGGGCGTGGTGGCTCACACCTGTAATCCCAGCACTTCGGGAGGCTGAGGCAAGAGGATTACCTGAGTTCAGAGGCTCAAGACCAGCCTGAGCAACATAGCGAGAACTTATCTCTACAATAAATCAAATTAGCCGGGTGACACATGCCTGTGCTTCCAGCTACTTGGAAGGATGAGGCGGAAGGATCACCTGAGCCCAGCAGGTTGAGGCTGCTGTGGCCACGAGTATGCACACCAGCCTGGGAGACAGAGTGAGACTCCAACTCAAAAAAACAAAAAAGTGTTTTGCTTATTCACTTGTTTCTTATTCTCTCCCAGTGTGGAATACTGACCCCCTGAGAAAGGGGCTGGGTTTGCCCTGCTCACCATGGTAACTTCACACCCAGAACAGTGCTTGCCCACCAACAAGGGGCTCAGTAAACATTTGTGGAATCAATGAATGAATCCATCCACAAGACTTTCGGTGAATCTTCACGTTGAGATCAAGCCTTGAGCTCCAAACTGAATTCAAATACTTCACAACTCTAGTCTTGAATTCTCACCTTAGTCTCTTCCCCTGAAAGCTAACCTCCACCCACGTGCCCTTTCCCTTATCTGACCTTAGTTTTTTAAGATGACATGGTCAGTTTTTCAGCCACAGCATTCCCTGTTTAAAGGAGGTAGCCAGTGAAAGCTGGAGGAACAAGCAAGTTCGGGAAGACAGCAACAACAGTCTAAGGAAAGGAAAGTACTCTAACAGGAAGGGCGCCGCACCCCTTCCTCGAGAAAGTCCCGCTTCAAAGCCCAGGGAGAGAGCGCAGTGAGCAATCTCTAAACCCAAGGAGTAAAACGTGCGGGCCAGGCTCGGTGGCTCAGCCTGAAATCCCAGCACTTTGGGAGGCCGAGGCGAGTGGACTGACTGAGTCGGAGGGTTCGAGACCAGCCCGGGGAATTTGGCGAGACCTCGTCTCTACAGTAAATCACAAAAACTAGCCGGGCGTGGTGGCGCGGGCCTGTAGTTCCAGCTACTTGTAAGGCTGAGGCGGAAGGATCGCCGGAGCCCAGCGGGTCGACGCCGGGGTGGCCGTGAGCTCCAGCCCCCGTGACGAGACGCCAACTCAAAAAGAAAAAAATTAAAAAGTGCGTGCGCCTTTAAGAGGAGGGTTGAAAATGAAGGGGCGTGGCCACAGGAAAGGACGTTGGCGACCTAATCCGCGAGGGCGTTAAGGCCGGCCCCTTGCGGTGACGTGCCCTAGCAAGATGGCGGCGCCCAGGACGGTAGGTGACCGGAGCTCCTGGAACCTCCAAAATCGAAGTCTGCTCGCAGCCTCCGCCTTCAGGACCTCTCTTGGCGACCAGGCGAGCAAAGGGCCGTGAAGGAGAAGGAATCTCTCCCGCAGGCCTCGCTTTGAGACTGTAGGCCTGCGGCTGTTGGGAGCCGGAAAAGATCCGCGGCCGTCGTAGGCGGAGGAGGGGCTTTGGCGCCCAAGGGGGCGGAGGCTTTTCGGAGACGATCCAATGGGGATGAGGGAGTGGCTTCCGAAGAGTAGCCAATCAGAGGGAGGGATACGACCGCACGCGCTGGGAGCCAATGGACGGACGAGGGTGGGGCGCGGAGGAGAAGTGGGCGTGGAAGGATGGGCTAAGAATCCGGGTCCTAGGGTGGAAGACCAAAGGATAAATTTAAGGGGAATTCATGGGAGGTTGAGGAATGTTGCGGAAAACCAAATGTAAAATGGGGTGGGGCAGGAACTAAGAGATGAACTTGGGAGTTCCAAGAGAAGGATCTGGGGAAAATTAATGGGAGAATTTGCGATATTCATTAAGAGTGTTTAGGAAGAATTGGGTAAAATCAAGGAATGAATTTAGGGAAAATTAAAGAGGTTGGGAGCTTAATAATGTTTAGGGAAAATAAGAGTTTGCGCAAAATTATGGGAGAATTTGGTTAAAGCGAAGAAAAATTGGGGCCATTGAAGAGTTTTGCCCGCGCGGTGGCTCACGCCTGTAATCCCAGCACTTTGGGAGGCCAAGACGTGATGATTGCCTGAGCCCATGGGTTTGAGACCAGCCTGGGCCACTTGGCGAGACTTCATCTGTACAGTAAATAAAAAAATTAGCTGGGCACGCGCCAGTAGTTCCAGTTACTTGGAAGGTTGAAGCGGAAGGATTGCCTGAGCCCAACAAGTTGAGACTGCGGAAGCCATGAGCGTGCCACTGCGCACTAGCCTGGGTGACAGAGTGAGACTCCTATTAAAAAAAAAAAAAAAAAGAGTCTTTGAACATGAATATGGCTTTGGGAAGCCAGGCCCCTCCATTTTCCCACCCTCCTCTTAAAGGTGCATACATTTTTTACTCTTACTAGTTTAGGAATTGCTCGGAGCGCCCTCTTCATGAGAAATTATGGGTGGATTGGAGAGAAATTAAGATTCTATTTGGGGGAGGTATATAGATCATTCAGGAAGACTCTAGAATTGGTAAAATTAAGGAACAAATTTGTGGGGAAATTAAGGAGTTAGATAATGAAGGTTTTGAGAGAAAAATAAGCTTTGGGGGAAAGTTAGGGTAAGAATTTAGGGAAATCATGAATATCTGGCTAAGTCAAGGAGAGAATTTAGGGTTGATTAAGGGAAAGAACTTTGGGGAAATGGAGAAATTTTTAGACTCTCAAAGACCAAATTTGGAAGTTCTGAAAGGAGAACTTGGCGAGTTGGGGAAGCAGAAGGATTGAGGTTTTTGAAGCCAGAGCTAGGGGGAGAAGGGGTTGCTGATGCTCTCTCTTACAGGAGGCTCCAGGCTCAGTTCCTCCTTTCATCTCTCCCCAACAAGTCCTTGCGCCTGGTGGTCCCAATATGGAACAGGAGTACCAGAGGCATCCGTGGCCTTGGTGGGGCAGTGGCCCCAGAAGGCAATCAGAAGAAGAGAACACTGCTCCAGTTTTTGAGTGACCACTTCTATGACGTGATGGCTCTGAGGGAGTTCTTGCTCCGAATGCAGATGTTAAAAGTGCACCAGAAAAATCGGTGAGAATCCCTGGCCTGCAAGACCTGTGGAGACCCTGCTGCTCAGGACTCACCAGTCAGAGCCCAGATCCTTCCCTTGTCAATCCTAGGCAGCACCGCACCTTCCAGTGCCAGCCTTGCCAACTCTTGCATCTTCATCCCCAGCCAACACCCTTCTCCAGACTCCAGCTCATGTAGGCAACTTGCTGCCCACCAGCTCCACTTGGGGAGTCTCCCTGGCATCTCACACCTAGCATGGCTAAAACTTAACCCTAGTTTCCCCTTAAAAAAACCTACTCACCCCCAAGCCTTCCCTACCCCAATAAACGATACTGCTGCCCACTCAGTTGTTTGGGCCAAGTTCTAAGGAGTCATTCCTGATTCCACTCTTTGCTTCTCTGTACTTTACATCCAGTCCATCAATAAAATACTAGAATATCCCAAATTTGACCAGTTCTCACTGCCTCCACTGTTCATAGCCTGGTCCAGTCACCTTCGTTTTATAGTTGGATTGGTGTATGCAGTAATAGCCTAACTCATTACCTCTTGCTCCCTATATGCTAGCATAGTCTGCAAAGCAGCCAGAGGACTCCCAGGAAAGTAAATAACATTACTCTCCTGCTTAAAACCCTCAGATAGTTTCCAGTTGCAATTAGAATAAAAGTCAGTCTCCAAGGCCTAAAACATGGCCCTTACTGAGCTCTGAGACCCCCTACCATGGATTCCACTGACCCCCATCAGTATAACATATTTATTCCTGTTAATTCATCCATCCTAATTCAAGCCTCCAATCCTTTGCATTCTCTTGCTTCTCACCACTTACGTCTCTGCTCAAATGTCACCTCCTCCAAGAAGTATTTAACACCCAAGCTAAATTAACCCCCATCATCGCCACCTCTGACCCAAGCCACTCCCAGTCAGCCCCTCCGCTTTATTTTATCATGGAATTGATATTCTTTGCTATTGGCTGATAATTTCCCGACTTATCTGCCTCCACTATAAAATAGCTTGACAAGGGTGGGGACGTTATCTGCCTAGGTCACCACTGTGCTCACAGTGCCTAGCACTTAATGGGCACGGAATATCTGCAGCCTGACTCAGTCTGTCCATTTGCCTGGTGTGCTGGACTCTGCCCCTCTCAGCAGTGCTGGGGTGTGGTAAGGGGTGTGATACTCCCCAGGCCTTACCCTTGGCTTCCATTTTCTCTGCAGGGCCTTCCCCCACATCGAGGAGAAACATGGGCCATACATCGCAGGTGCCTTTTTCATCTTGAAGCAGGGAGGCGCAGTCAAGTACGAGAGCTAAGGCGTTAGAACAGAGGTGAAGGGAGGCAGTCAGTGTCTGCAACACCCAGGCTCTGCAGTCAGACAGGCCTCACTGAGTCACCGGGTCTCTGCCACCTACTGGCCGTGTGGCTTGGGATTCGTTCCTGAGTCTCTGTGTTGTCATCCCAAAAATGGGATGGGAATCATATCTAACCTACAAGGTTTGCTGAATGCAGCCAGGCACACCGGCTTGTAACTGTAATCCCAGCACTTTGGGAGTTCAAAGCAGGAGGATCGCTTGAAGCCAGGAATTTGAGACCAGCCTGGGCAAAATGACAGGACCCCATCTCTACAATTATTATTATTTTTTAATGGCTAGGCATGGTGACACACAACTGTACTTCTTTTTTTTTTTTTTTTTTTTTTTTGAGTTGGAGTCTCACTCTGTCGCCCAGTCTGGAGTGCAGTGGCCGCTCCCGGCCACCGCAGCCTCGCCTGCTGGGCTCCGGAAATCCTTCCGCCTCAGCCTTCCAAGTAGCCGGAATTACAGGCATGCGCTACCACGCCCAGCTGATTTTTTTATTTATTGTAAAA